TCTTGTTTTAAGTTGTAGAGAGAAGACAAGACAACAAGTGGAAGGAAAAGTGCTAGAGAAGTCACTTTTCACAAGGTAAGTAAATCCAACCAAGTTGAGTTTTGAATAAGCTTTTGAGTAGAGATTTAAAGGTTGAGTAGATATGTATGCATGTATAAATATGTATTATGCTTGTTGAGAAATTGAGTTGAGATGAGTAGCTATTTTGTGGTTGTTGGATACACTTCATGTATGAGAAGTGTTTTAATGTGTATTGAGAAATGGAAATTGAGATGAAGTTTGAGAGATGTTGTGTAAACCTATTTGGAAGTGCTTTTCTTGATAGGGATTATGGTTATATGAGGGAGTTTTCTCCCATTTTGGATGGCTAGAGAATGAAGTAGAGTAGTAATTATAGTAGAGTTTTTATATGCACATGAGTTGCTTGATGAAATGCCTAAGTGAAAACATGTTACCAAACTGTCCTGTCACAGCTGTGACCTTTCGAGTGATTTTTGGACATCTTACAGATTTAACTGGGTTTAGACCAAAACATAAAAGTTATAGCCCTATCTCTAAACTTTAAAACGAGACAAAAATCGTAGCAATCCGATATGTATAACTCAAGTTATGCCTTCTTAAGTGTGACCTACGCAGAATGACTGTCTTTGATGCAACATTGCATTTATGCTTTTCATGAGTGCATTAATGAGCATGAATCATCCATATGCATTAATTATGCATTAGAGAAAGAGTAGAAAAAAGGAGTAGAGAACTTTGAGTGTGAGCTTTATTAAGAGAGAAAAAGAGAATAGAGTAGGTTGTGCGATGGGGAACCCGTGAGTAATGGGTAGAGTATTCCCGCATGTACGCTGCATTGAGAGAGCGGCATGAGTATGAGAGAGAGAAGTGGTGTAGCCCGTGAGAGTGCATGCGGATGAGGACTATACCCAAGAGTACCTGAGAGAGAGTTTATACGCTCATATGGCCAAGGGTTCCGAATCCATGCATAACTGAGTCCGATCGGCTAGAATGAGTAGAAGTCACAGAGAGCGGGAGCGAGTCCCGGCCGTGACTTACAAAAGAGAGTTAGTAGAAAGAGTTAAGAGAAAGAGAAAATAGAGAGAAGTATAAAAGAGAGAGTAAATGAGAATTGTAAAGAAAGAATTAGAGAGAGTTACGGGGATAGATGAGTAGATGATTTACTTATTGAGTATTAGTTGTGCTCACCCCGTTGTTTCCTATGTTTTTGCAGGATCTAGGTAAGGACACAGTCGGATGGACATCGACAAGCGAAGGAAAATGGCTACACTGTCCACCTTGTTTTGATACTTTTGTACATGATATAACTTTTTGTATAAAGAATGTATATGTTTAATAAAAGAAAAATTTGGGTTCAACTTTTTATGCTATATTACATGTATTTTACTATGCATATTTTAAAAGAATATGAGTAGAATAGAATTGTTACAAAATAGGAGTTAAAATGTTAAATAATATGTTAACATCACTTGAGCGACACATCATTTATGATGGAAAATTTGGAATTTCGTTTCGGAAGAGCAGTATTATTCTAAACTTAAGCACAACGCATTATTTTAATTATCCCATAGAAATAAGGTTATATATAATAATTGCCCTCAAATTTTTGTATATTAACTACGTAAAAACATTTTGGGCCCTCTTAGTTATATATTATCATAGCACCCCTTACAATTAAAGTATAATCTTTCTTTGTAATGGGAATCATGCGTCGTATTTAATAAAAAAAAAAAAAAAATTCAATGAAATTCACGCAGTTTTTGGTTGACTTTAGGTCACTCCATCAATGTTTTCACAATGCTAATGGTTAATTAAGAATCTTCTTTTTCTCCTAATAAATTTCCTAATTAATTCTCCTATTATATATTACTTTTAGTCAAGGTACTCAACTAATCTTTGAAGTTTCATAGACATCTTACAAAATCAAATCAAAAAAACTACAATATTATTATGATAAGTGATCCTATGGTTTGAACCAAAAAACTAAAAAGAGACAAACCTCTTTAACCACAGATTAACTTTTAACTTTTGGGATTAAGTCTCCTTATTATTATTGTAACATAAACGTGTTTCCAACAATTATAAATATTTGATCAAATGTATCGGGAGAATTCAACAATTTTAAGAAATATTCTATGCTTACAGCTTGCGGACCAAATAAAATATATTTTTATAACTGTGATTAATTTTTCAAACATCCTAAACTTAAAAATTTGACCAAGTTTTCAAAAATAAAATTTATGTTTTTTTTTTTATTTAACAAGTTCCAAATCATATCCAAAATCATTTATTGGATATGATTTGTGAATAATATTGGGTAGTTGAATAGGGTGAGGATTTACGAAGTAAAATTTAAAAATTAACAAAAAAACCCCATAGGTTTGCTAATTTAACTAAACACCCCAATGTATAATTTTTTTTTTAAATGATAAAAACACTCCCACTACCATAGTGCCACCGCCGGAATCTGGCCGGAAAATGGCGTTAAGACGCAGACTGGTCGGATCTAGCCGGTCGTGTGTCGACATGACATTTTTGGCCAGATCACATGGATCTGGCCTAAAAAGGCTAGATCTACGGCCAGATCTGGCCGTTGAAAGCCCGCAAAGGCCAGATTTGGCCGTCAGATCTGGCCTTTTTCGGCCAGATCCACTGTGGATCTGACCGGAAAAGGCTAGATCGGTGAATTACCGGCTAGTTTGGTCGTTTCTACGCCAGCAACTATGAGTGGGTGGGGGGGTTTTTGTTAATTTTAAAATTTTTTCTAGAGGTGTTTAATTAAATTAATAAACTAAGGGTCTAAAAGAAATTAAAAAAATAGAATAGTATTTCCCAAATAATTAAACAAACAGGTATTTTGGGAATATGGTATACAAAGTAAAACAAATGCACCCATTATGGTTTACCTGGTCTTTTGAGTTTTTCAGATGTTTAATGGATCATAGGGATTAGTTAGGTGTTGGTCGGGACACCCCACTTATCCAAAAAAAAAAAAAATAAAAAAAAATTGAAGGTAAAGCAATAAGAGTCATAATTGGGTTGGATAGATGGTAATTAGAGCAAAAGTGGGGTCATAATAGTGGTTGAAGACGAAAATGACCAAATGAGTTGAAGGAGATATTTAACATTTTTTAGTAAATTGATGGTTCACCTTCCTAATTTTCCAAGACTCCAACAACTTGTCTTTTTTTTGTTTATTTGTCAACTCTTTTATTAGAGGCTTGTTTGAACAATCAAGTCAATTATTCTTCTTCTTTTCATTTATAGTACTAACATTTCTTATACCACTTAACATAATCTTTCTTTATTTACCATAATGTTTTATTTATTGTCATTGTTAAAATCGTTATTAACAAATTTTCTCAAGAGTTTTCGATAAATTATTATTTATTGACAGATTTTTTTTTTTTTTTTCAAAAGCTTACTTAGGCCAATGATTGTGCGTTGATTTGATTGTTGTTTCTAGCTAGATTCATGGATCTGACCATTTACGACCATGAATCTAGCTGAAAACGGTCAGATCAGTGCATAGTTAGCCAAATTTGACCGATTGTACGTCGTTCTAACGATTTTCGGTGGCGACTGACAATCGTTTTGGGTGGTATACATGTAAATAGTTTTCAGAATAAGGGCATTATTATCTAAAAAGTTAATTACTTGAGGGAAAAATGGTATCAAAATTAAGATTAATTTATGTAAAATGAGAGACATTTTTGTTGTGCATCATTCCGATAACTTTCGACGACGATCAACGACCAACAGTCGTCTTAGCTGGTTAGAAGTTTTCTTTAAAATTTTAAACTTTTATTGTGATCGGAGTGTTTTAGTTAAATTTAAAAGATTAAAAGTAATAATCTAAATAATAAAATAATATTAATATTAAAAAAAAGAAAGGTAATCCGGTAAAAGAATCTCCTAGATTTCTTTTATTTCCCCTACTGAATATATTAATTATTTATACACACAAATTTAATACAATATAACTAAATATATATAATATAATATAATATTCTTTCATGTTTTCCAAAGTAATCGTATTTTTAATAATAAAACATTTCCACTGCCAAACGCCTCAGCAAAAGAAAAAAAAAAAAAAATTAAAGAAGCAAAAGAATTTGGTAAGTTTAATTTAATAACATGATCTGCTAACTTATTAAGGTGTGTTAATAGGGCCCACTGATATTATTGTTTTAATTAAAATATTAAATTGAAAATATCAAGGCTCTGTGTCTTGCGGCAGTAATCAAGTGTGTGGTATAGTGCTGTAAGATTTTGATTTGTTTTTGTTTCCAAAAAAAACAAAAATAAATAACACAAAAAGTAAATTATTAAACTTTTAATAAAAGAAATGGTTAAATTAATACCAAGTTATAATCAAGTATTAGTGAGTTGTAAAAATTTATATTTTTAAAAGTTTGTTAATTTTACCAAATTACCTTTCTATCTTAAACCTCTAGAAGATTTTTATTATTTAATTATTCATCATAATTAATGTAATTAATTTAAAAGAAAAAAAAAATCAACTTTTAAAGAATTAAATCATTTTGGTCCCTGCAATAGAATCTGATAGTAACATTTAGATCCTTATTATGAGATATCAACTTTTTTTAAAATTTCTATAAATGTCTAAAGTACCCTTAATTTTAAGATCAAGGGTATTTTAGACCTTACAAAATATAAATTATAAAACTGCTACCTTATAACAAGGACATAAGTGGTTACTATCAGATTCTACTGGACCTTATGTCCATAAGGCCAAACCTTAAGGACCAAAAGTAACTGCAACTTCAAAGTATTTAACCGAAGGACAAGAGTGATGGACAGTCATAGACCTTAGAGAGAAGAGATTCTCCAAGAAATTTATTATTTTACTTATAAAATTCCAAAACCAAAAAACAAAAAAGAAACACATTAAATGAGGAGGAAAGAGAGAAAGAAATTAAAAAAAAAAAAAAAAAGAGAGTAAAGAGATTGGGAGAGAGAAAGAGAAAGAGTGTTGTTTTGTGACAGGTTTTTGATGTCTCTTCTCATGTAAGTTTCATTTGATTGTGTGGAATTTCTTTTCCTTTCTTTTTCTGGGATTTCTCTCTCTTTCATAAACAAACTCTTCTTTTTTCTATTCTCTCTCAATATCTTCTTTGAGACAATGGCCCAGTAAGCTGTAAGCAAGCAGATCCAAAAATCCCACATTTTCTGTGCTTTTCAGAATACCCACTTTGTTTTTTCAACACTTTTCTCAGCCTTTATCTTCGTTCAAAGCTTTTCAAAAGATGCTCGCTTTGATGTTTTTTCTTTGTGCTTGTTGATTCTTGGAGTTGCAGAGCTCAAATTTTATGAAACGTTGAGCCAGAGAGAGTGAATCACTGGTGTTTTTTTTGAGAAGGTAATGATATAAAGATGTGATTGAAGATCACTTTTTTTTTTTTTAATGGTTTTGATTGTCTTTTTCTTTGTATTTTCAGCTGGATTCCTGTTTTTATGATTCAAGTTATTGGATTTTTGCAAGTTTTTGTTTTTGTTTTTATTTTTATTTTTTTGGGTGACTAAATCATCACTTTAATACTTTACCATTCTTTCTTGCATCAAATATTCATCGAAGAAGCTTGACTAAATGATGTAATAATAGTCATCGTGTATTATGGCTTCAATAGACTGTTTTATAGTTTTTTTTTTTGGGCTTTCTTTTTTCCTTATTTTATAACTGGGTTATGCTTTGCTTAACGTTTGGTTGAAGTAATAAATTTGGTTTTCTGGGTATCTGATTTTGGTTGCATATTTGCCGTAGATTCTTTATTAGTTCATCTCTTTTAATAATGAATTTAGTCAACATTTTCTGTTGGCTTTGAGCAGTACTGATTTCTGGATTTGCCAACCTTTTTGTTCCTTTCCCACGTAGCCATAGATTCAATCCTTGTTTTTGTTTATTTATCTTTTCCTCCTCCTCTTAATGTGGGTTGTGATTTCTCTTAATTTGATCCTTCTAGCTTTCTTAAAAAATTTGCTGCTGGAAGAACTAGCACGAACTAGTTTTGTGTTTTATGCCTTCAACCCGGAACTTGTATGTGTTAATTGAGTTTGTGTGCTTGTATCTACAGTTTTTCAATGGCATTTATTAATGGGTTTTGTTTATATGATACTAGTTGAGATCCGGGTGATTCTAGCTGCTTATTAGCATTTATGTTCAGAGGGATTTGCTTTTGTTAACCTGCATTGAATTCATACTTGCAACTTTGATTTTAGTAATTTGTTTAATGTGCTTGCTCTTATGACTGTGGTTTGGACTTCTGATTGAGTCTACATTATTCATTCAGTTTCTTTTTCCCATTTAAGACTTTATTTCTATATGCAGTACAAATGAAACGCCATCAAATGCAGAAAAATACTGTTGATTTCAAGTATTTTCAGAATCTTTGTTTCAGTGTCTTGATCAACCAAGTTGTGAGTTGATGTTTGCAATAGTACCAAAGAAAACTTCTTTTTGTCTACTAACAAAAGTTTACCTTAAGAACTGCCGAACATATATATTGCCACATTTTAAGACGCATAACAGCATTGCCAACAGGATCAAGGTTTTCACCTGTTCATGGGGCACCCTTTTGTGAAATAGTCTTTTTCTGCTCCGTATGTTTAGTGTTCCTCAGCAAGATAGATTGTATTTTTGTAAATGTTTATACGGGTATAAATATTTATGATAGTAGCAAATTTTATTCGAGAGTTCTGATATTTAAAAGAACAATAAGAATGGTGAAAAAGCCAAATATTGTCGGGTATGCCAAAAATCTAATCTATTCTTGACCTTGTTGCAGGTGCTGTCTCTTAATGGTACTGAGGGTACCAAGTTGAATTGTGCTATCTTATTGAATGAACTTAATGTTCCAACACTAATGGCACTGCTGGGAATGCAAGCTGACATGCAGTATAAAAGTTTCTTTCCTGGACATTATTCTACTATGGATCTTAACTTGGATGCCAATGGCTCTATATGGCCCTTAAATAATATTGATAAAATCTTTATGAATGGACATGACTATAATGGTGCCTTGTTACTTCCCTCTCCTCATCAGCATTTGGTGCAAAACAAGGATACATTGAAGCAGGCAATGCTCAAGCATGAAGCTATATTCAAGGATCAGGTGTTGTTGTGTCTCAACTTTCAGTTTTGAGTAATTTAGCTTATTTTATCTCATTAACTTAAAAGCTCATTTCCATGTTGAATAGAAGTTAAAATCCATATCTCTATAGTTTCTGGATAAACCTTCATGTACTGAGGAACAAATACATGGGGTCAGCATATTTTAAATTGTTGTCTAAATATATAGAATTTTAGATGTTTTTATTTCTTTATGTCTTCGAGACGATTGTATGCATTTCTCTGATCACTCTGTTCTCATGCTGTGATTCTTGTAAATTAACTTTGAGCTCTGGAAATTTATTGATTTTTGCCAAGATAAAGAACTATAATTTCTGTTTGCCTCTATGGCATGCAGTACAATTTATTCAGAGATCCCTGAGAAGTGGGAATTTTCTAGTTTATGATGCATTCTGATAAAATTTAAATGTACTACTGTAGCTAAGCGTCTGAAGAGAAGCAGGTGTAACCAACTCCTTTAGATAATTAAAGTTTGAGTCAAAGTGCATGGTAGATCTATTTTCTTAAAGATGAATGTCAAAGCATTGTTTTTATCTATAAATTGAGAGGGAAGGAGACCTATTATTAGGCCTCTAGGAATCATTGTCTTGAACCAAATTATAAATCATTTCTTTTTCGTGGTGTGTTGTGTACTTGTGTATATGCATTTGTGTTTTACATTTAGCATATCTTATTCATGATTCTGATGCAATGAATTTGTTAACATTTTTTATCTATTTGCACTTCTTAAATACTCAAGTGTTTTGACTGTCCAGATTCGTGAACTACATCGCCTTTACTGGAGACAGAGGGAATTAATGGATGAAATGAAAACCAAGTTGCTAAAACATCACCTACAGCTGGAGACCTTACTATCAAATCCACTTTTGTCTCAGAACTCTTGTGATTATGCCCAAAAGACATGCCACGTGTACAGCTTGCCCCAAATGAACCCTGCATGCGACCGATCATCTGTTTTAACTGCTGAAAACAACCTACCTCTGTCATGTTTTAAAGAAGGAAATAGCATGTGTGCAGGTCCTGAACCTGCTCAAACTAAATTCTCTTTAAAAGGCTGTGAGTTAGAGTCTAAGTGCAAGAAGTTTGGTAAGAAGATCTTGGATCTTGAACTTCCACCTTATGAGTACATTGATAGCGAAGAAGAGGAATGTTTACCAAAGGCAACTATGGTGTTAGATTATCCTCCCAAGAGTAATCAACAACCATATCATGGCATTGGCAGTTTCAACTCAGCTTTCCAGGGTGATAATTTGACTCCCAGTTCTATTTCTGTAAAAAAGATCTGTTTGGCTGACTTGAATGAACCGATCAAGCCTGAAGAAGAGGTAGATTCCACGTCCATGTATGTGGCTGACTTGAATGAACCAACCAAGCATGAGGAAGAGGCAGCTCCTAGATTCAAGTTTTTGGCTGATTTGAATGAACCCATCAAGCCCGCGGAAGATGCAGCTTCTGTGTCTAGTGATTTTCCAAGTTCTGCTGGCAACAAGGAGTTCCCTTGTCTGGATCTGTCTCAAAAGTCTAATTCAGGCCTTCAAGTCTTCTCCACAGAGTTGATGCAAATTACCAAGAAAGGAAGTGATCTTGAAACTTGTTCTGAAGGTTTACACCTGGAAACAAACAAAAAGGAAAAGTGGCCATCTTCTGACAATGAAGCAGGTGAGAATCCTGTCGTCAGGTTGCATAAGAAATATATAAATTAATTACATTTTTGTTTGACTGTTTGGCATTTGGTCACTATTTGTTTGCTTATCATCCACAGGTTTATTTATTCAAACAGCAGTTATTGTTAGTTAGATGACTAAATATCTTGTACCTCATTTTCCAGGACAAAGTGGAAGTGATTCCATTTCTTTAGCTCCAGGTTTTGGTGTAGAGAGATCCATGTCTTTAGAAGATGCTGAGCTCAAGCTAACTGAAGGACAAAGTGGAAGCGATTCCATGTCTTTACCTCCAGGTTTTGGTGGAGAGATATCCATGTCTTTAGAAGATGCTGAGCTCAAGCAAACTCAAGAATTTCCAAGGTCTGGTCTCATGGATCAGAGTGAGAAAAAATCTTGCAGTGAAGGTTCAGAGAGCCTTAGAAGAGAAGTCTCCTCTAATAGCTTTCCTGGCACGGATACTTGTCAGCTTATTTCTTTGGCTGATGTAGGGAATTCTGAGGCATCCTCAGTTTCATCTTGGAGAAAACATGTACATGACATTATGCGGACCCCTATAGCAGTTCAAGCACTCCCGTGCTTTAACACATCTGCACCATTGAGGAAACGTTCTAAATCATCGGCTGCAAGCCCTTGGCTTACTGGTCAGAAGTCTAACACACCATTGATCAGTTTTGATGGTCCGGACTGTAATAACGATGATTTGGCATCTAAGCACCATTTTCCTACAAAATTCATTAGCCTTTCCGTGGAAGTGAAGCCTGCAATGGATGTTAATTCTAATTCAGTGTCACATAACTGTTCCTCGGATAGAGAAAAGAAGCTTGAAGATTTAACTAGGGGGTTACCTTGGCTTAAAACAAATTCAATATGTAAGAGGAAACGTGGTAAAAGAAGTGAGCTGTCAACTCGAGTGGAATCTGTCTTAGAACGAGCTAATTTATCATGCATCCATGATGTAGAGCTGAAAAAGGTTGATGCAAGCAACAACTCAAGTGACAAGGCGGTTCGAGGATTTCAAAAAATATATAATAAGCCTCCTCATGTGTCCAATGGCCACTCTTCATCCCATCAGTATCCATCTGAAGATGAATACATCATGACTAAGGAGAATATCAGAGTAACTGATATTAATGTGGATTCTGATCCTGTGACTGAGTCAAAAATACAGCTATTTTTGAGTAAGGATGTTGCAGGGGGTGGACTTCATAAGAGAACTTCAGATTTTGGAGTCACTATTGACCTGAACTCAAGCATAGATGAGCATGACTATTCACCAGCACTCACTCTTTCAACAGAAATGGATTTGGAAGCGCCAGTGAGCCCAGAAAATAAGGAGAGATCTCCACCGAGAGGAGAATCAGATGAAAACCATGTGGGGACACCTTTTCGATTCTCTGGAAAGGAAGATGAGGATGTGCAAATGGATCTTGTTGGTAATGCAGTGACGGCTATAGTGTCAGGACAAGAACGTGGGGCTGTGCTAGATGAACTTGTTGGGACTGCAGCAAAGGCTATAGTTTCCATATCTTCATCTACGGTTCAAACTTGTTCAGAAACTGCCGCATGCGAGCCATTTGAACCTTGTTGGAGTGACGAGCTGTATTGGTTTGCCGGGGTAGCTTCTTTAGTGGTTGATGATCCTGATTGTGAATTTGGAGTAGCTCTGAGTTGTAAGAACAGTCAGGATAACGATGAGTTCCTGTCTGATGGTCTCGACTATTTTGAGGCCATGACACTGAAGCTGACTGAGACAAAGGTCGAAGAACAGTGGGTTAATAAGAGCAATGACCAGAAAGACCATAAAGAGGAAGAAACAGTTGATACTTTTTTGATGAGTCAGACAAGGAGAGGCCGGATGAGAAGGAGGAGGCAGCAGCAGCAGGACTTCCAAAGTGAAATTCTCCCAAGTCTTGCTTCTCTGTCAAGATATGAAGTGACTGAGGATCTGCAGACAATAGAAGGGCTAATTGAAGCTGCTAATTACACTTGGGGAACATGCTCTACAAGAAACATGGGCAGAACTTCCCGGGCAAGGGGAAGGAGGCGCACAGGCATTTCTACTTCCAATTTAACGGAGATTAGTTGTCTGGAAAAGGGAGTTGAGGAGGGAAAACTCATTGGTTGGGGGAAGATAACAAGGCGGCGAAGGGGGCCAAGATGTCCTGCTAGTAATCCTCGCCTTATTCAAGGGCAAGTACATTGAGAGTAAGCGAGATATGTTTATTGGTTTTTTGGGTGGAGGAAATATTGAACCATGGGATTTCATGTACATATCTACTCCAATATGGTATATGCAATTTAACATTCATACAGGAGAATAGAAACTTGCATGGTTTTGCAGTGATATATTATATTGAGCAATGTGATTGATTTGTAGATGTTTCCAAAACCAAATGAGATTTAAAGGCAAAATTGAAGCTATTGTTGTCGAAATTTTCATTAATAGAGGTGGAAGTTTGGTAAAAAGAAAATAAAAATAAATTTAATCATGAATTTGGGATGGTCCAGTGATTCATGCGAGTACTCGTGTATCATTTAATTTGACTTGTTTTTCTGATAAATTTCATGTACCAAGTAGAAGAATTATAAAATAGAATTACAACTTAAATTCATTGACATAACCCCATAACCATGAGCTTAATTATAATCCCAGTTCAGAAGAGAATTTTAGTGAAGCAAGTTTACCAATTTGATTCTTTGAATTCAAAGGTAAGAGTGAGGAAGCAAAGAATAAAATAAAAAAGTTATGCATGTATTAAGGATGCTTTATAAGTTTCATAATTGATTCAAGGCTTTTTTAGAGTAAACCCCATCGGTTTCGTATAATCCTTTTAGAGTACTCGTTAGCAAGCTCCCATTTTTCACGTACCGTTACCCTGATCTGTTAGAGTAAGGGGTAACTTGATGATTTGACAATGAATAAAAAATATCTTCAAATAAAATAATATAATTAAGGTCATTTTAGGAAAACAAATTATTAAAAAAAGGGTATAAATGTCATTAAACTCTGCTTTTGACTTTTCAATAGATCAGGGTAACGGACCGTTACAAATAGGGGCTTCGGGTGCTTACAAGAAATCTATGGGGTTTACTGTAAAAAACCTTTGATTTTTTATTTTTTTTAAAGAAAATTGGTTTTAGTTATTTAAAACAATTTAACAGTGTCAAACTTACGGATGGAATTTTGGTAATAAGGAGAAGAAACATCTTTTTAATTTAATCATCAATTTGGGGTTATCCACTCTTCCGTCCAAGTCGCTTACCCAAATTGAAAACCCTAAAACTAACCGACCCCCCTCCCCGCACCACTGCAAACCCAAATCAAGTCAATCTCCCGAAGCCGCCTTTCTTTCCCTTCCTCTCCAATCTCTGCCCCTCTCTCCCTACCTAATCCAAAGCCGCTGCCCATATCAAACACAGAGCATCGCGGTCCTGTATATTTGGTACAGTCTTCCTTCCCTACTCAATTCTCGTCAACCTGTTTCAAAAAACATGGCTGATCGTATTTCTTTGATTCAGATGATTATTTATTCTTGAAATGTATTATGCATATGTAGGAAAAATCACAAGAAGGATTTGATGAGTGGTGCTTCAAGTAATTTACGTGCAGCTTTCTCCCACTGTGTGCAGCAAGTGCGAAATTATGATTACCATCACTACCTCTGCCTCCTTGAACTCCCCACTAGTATGCGGAAAGCTGCATTCGCACTCCGGGCCTTCAATGTTGAAACTTCCAAAGCTATGGATGTCGCTTCTGATCCAAGAATTGGTCTCATGCGCCTTGTTTGGTGGCAAGAAGCCATAGACAAAATCTATACTAATAAGCGAATTGAACACCCAACTGCTCAGGCTCTTGCATCGGTTGTATCGGAGTATAAAATTAGTAAAGGATGGCTTAAAAGGTCCGTTCAAGCTCGGATTAATGATGCAAATAGAGAGGCTACGGACATCCCAGACGACATTGAAGAGCTGGAGAAATATGCGGAAGACACTGTATCAACGCTTCTTTATATGACACTGCAAGCGGGTGGTGTAATGTCCACCGCTGCTGATCATGTAGCATCTCATGTTGGTAAGGCTAGTGGCCTTCTTTTACTTCTTAAGTCCTTACCTTATCATGCTAGCCGCAATCGTCACTTTCCTTATATACCAGCAAAAGTGGCGGCAAAACATGGTTTGCTGGTTAAAGAAGGGGATCGGTCAGAAATCCGGTTGGATTCTCGTGAGGGGTTATGTGATGCTGTTTTTGAGATGGCATCAGTAGCAAATGTTCATTTACTTAAGGCTCGTGAATTAGCTGGAAAGGTGCCTGATGAAGCTCGCAAAGTTCTTTTGGAGGCTGTGCCTGCACAAGTTCTTTTGGATTCCTTGCGTCGGGTACATTTTGATGTGTTTGATCCAAGGTTATCACAAGGAATTCTGGGTGTTCCTCCACTATGGTACCAATTGAAACTGAAGTGGTATTCATTGAGGGGGAAATACTGAAAATTTTCATTACTGGGTGATTTTCCTCGGTTATGAAGTGGAGGTTAAGAGGGTTTGTTTTTTTAATTACAATTTTTTTAATAAGAGAGTGAAATATTAGTGATGCACCGGAACTGTTAGGCTGAGTAGACTTAGACACGTAGTTCATGTAATTCACTGGTTGGGATGGGAGGACTAATAAGCTTTGTTTTGTAGCTGGACAAAACAACTTGCGGCTTGATATACAGTGAAAAGTATCTTTGTGAAGGCATTGTATTCCAGTCTTTTTTTTTTTTTTTTTTGGTTGTTTTGCTCTTCTCAACTTTTGGTTGGAATGTAGTGCTTCCAGTTTTGAAGACTTAGTTTTTGATACTTCTGGCGAGTTGCACTTGCAAGAACCTTTTATGTGTTAAACTATCTGAAATTCTGTGAGGGTTCTCTAACAAGAGTCTTCTATATATATAATTATATATATATATATATATATATATATCATCACCTTTGTTTCGTGATTAATGGGTTACATGAACATTCCTTCAACTTTAGGAGTTTTCTAAGAGTCATTTGTCCTTGTTATGCATAGTGCAAAATTCACATGACTGCATTGCGCTTGATCAATGTTTTAATAATCAACCCGGGATGAAACCCGGCAAAGTTGTTGGGTCTCGGGTTGCTGGCGGTCAAACCAAGAGTCAAAAAGTTTAAAAATTCAGCAAATACACCCTAGAAATTACATTAAGGTTTTCAATTGTTCGTGATCATCATTCAATTTTTAGAGTTTTTCGGTGAATAGAAAATGAGTAACCCAGTCTGTTAAAAGTGTGGGTCTTGGTTGAATCGGTTGAGCCAGCTGGTCAGGTTTTAAAACTCTGTGCTTGACAATTGTAGCATTGCTCAATGCTGATAGTCTTGGCAATTTGACCATTAGCCTTGGTAGTTCAATAAGGAATGCAACAACCAAAACCCTATTAGTCTCGGCCCATTTTGGCCATTAGCCCACTAGTTACCCCATAATGATGCAACAATCAAAGTGAGATTTTGGTATTGCATCATTGAAGGATTATAGTAAGTAATGGACAAAGAACAAGTGATGATTTGATCGTTACAAACACAATAAAAATCATCGATGAGACAACCGATGGCCTATCAATCTCACAGTGCGCGGTAATAATCAAAACAAAAGAATATCATTTAGATAAATACCCTTCTGGGTTTCGTAAGGAATTGGTGGCTTACTATACACAAGCATACCAGAGCTGAAAACGCTGCCTTTTAACCTTATAAAAACTGCTTTCCCTATCAGAGAAATAAAAAAATCAATTAGTAGCTGCAAAGATTCCCATAAGTTAAGTTAACACCCAATTGTCAACAGTAGAAGACATTTGGACCCACTTTTCTGAGTGTGTCCAAACGTGTCAATTTTTTCTTTTTGCGTGGCTGATGGCATCTTTAGTTTTAAGTTTAACACCTCCACTTAAGCCTTAACATTTCTCCTTTAAGCTGTCTCTCCTTTTCTCTACCTATACTACTTTTTCTTCACCATCACTGATTTTCTCAGTCTCTATGGCAACCCATCGTTTTTTATTCCTTTTGTTAGTTTTAGCGGTTTTTGGAGGTGGTGGGTTGAACCAAAGGGAGTCAGCAATCATAAAGTTGCCAACAGAGAAAGAAGAACCGGCGGAGGAAGTTGGAACGAGATGGGCTGTTCTAGTGGCTGGATCATCTGGTTATGGAAATTATAGGCATCAGGTAAAAACTTTTAATTAAGACTAGTTTTGTGTTTTGGGTAATAAAGTGATGGAGAAGTTGTTATACAGGCGGATGTTTGTCATGCATATCAATTGCTAAGAAAAGGAGGATTGAAGGAAGAGAACATAGTGGTGTTTATGTATGATGACATAGCTATGAATGAGCTAAATCCAAGGCCTGGTGTTATCATCAACCATCCACAAGGTGAAAATGTTTATGCTGGTGTGCCTAAGGTAATTTTCACAATCTTATAATTAAATCACTGATTTTTTTAATGTGAATTTGTCAATGATAGAGTGTTGTGCTGCGTGAGATGGTTGGATGCCTTTCTTTTTTTTCTTTTTTTTTTTTTTTTTGACTTTTTGCCACTTGCCACATATTGATAGTGATGTGCATTAATCTCAATAAGATAAACACATTTATTGTTGTTACTTGTTAGTCCTTCCAGGCATGTAATATTCCTAGGGAGAACGATTTTTCCCACCCAAGTTTGGTGAAACGACTAGAGGTGGAAATTTTGGGTCGGGTTAGGTGGGGCCCTAACCCAGCCTGAAAAAATGCGGGTTAAACCCGACAATAACCCCTAGCTGGTCGGGTTGCACAATGGCAACCCGCAACCCGACGGATTGCTATTTTGTCTCTTTTGCAAGAGACCCGGTAACCCGTCGGGTTGGCTATGTGCAACCCAGCGGGTTGTAACGGCCAACCCGTCGGGTTACAACAGCCGGGTGGGTTGGCCGAAAAAAATAAAAATTTTTATTTTATTTTTCAAATTACCCATTTACCCTTGAAATATAGCCATTGGAGGGGTCTTTTTCATCATTTTTCTTTCCCATTTTTTCCTATAAATTGGTCCTAAACTCTCACAAAATCTGAAAATTTTCATTACTGGGTGATTTTCCTCGGTTATGAAGTGGAGGTTAAGAGGGTCTGTTTTTTCAATTACAATTTTTTTAATATGAGAGTGAAATATTAGTGATGCACCGGAACTGTTAGGCTGAGTAGACTTAGACACGTAGTTCATGTAATTCACTGGTTGGGATGGGAGGACTAATAAGCTTTGTTTTGTAGCTGGACAAAACAACTTGCGGCATGATTTTCAGTGAAAAGTATCTTTGTGAAGGGATTGTATTCCAGTCTTTTTTTTTTTTGCTGCTCTTCTCAACTTTTGGTTGGAATGTAGTGCATTCCAGTTTTGAAGACTTTAGTTTTTGATACTTCTGGCGATTTGCACTTGCAAGAAGCTTTTATGTGTTAAACTATCTGAAATTCTGTGGAGGGTTCTCTAAAGAAGAGTCTTCTATATATATATATAATCACCTTTGTTTCGTGATTAATGGGTTACATGAACATTCCTTCAACTTTTAGGAAGTTTTCTTAAGAGTCATTTGTCCTTGTTATGCATAGTGCAAAATTCACATGACTGCATTGCGCTTGATCAATGTTTTAATAACCAACCGGGATGAAACTCGGCAAAGTTGTTGGGTCTCGGGTTGACTGGCCGGTCAAACCAGGAGTCAAAAAGTTTAAAAATTCAGCAAATACACCCTTAGAAATTACAATTAAGGGTTTTCAATTGTTCGTTGATTATCATCCTAATTTCTAGAGTTTTTCAGTGAATAGGGAAATCGGTAACCCAACCCATTAAAAGTGTGGGGTCTTGGTTGAATTGGTTGGGCCAGGTTTTAAAACTCTGTGCTTGACAAGTGTCGGGTCTTGGTTGAACTGGGCCAAGTTTTAAAACTCTCTGCTTGACAACTGTAGCATTGCTCAATGCTGATAGTCTTGGCCAATTTGACCATTAGCCTTGGTAGTTACAAATAAGGAATGCAACAACCAAAAACCATATTAGTCTCGGCCCATTTTGGCCATTAGCCTCACTAGTTACCCCATAATGATGCAACAATCAAAGTGAGATATTTGGTATTGCATCATTGAAGGATTATTAAGAAGTAATGGACAAAGAACAAGTGATGATTTGATCGTTACAAACACAATAAAAATCATCAATGAGACAACCGATGGCCTATCAATCTCACAGTGCGCGGTAATAATCAAAACAAAAGAATATCATTTAGATAAATACGCTTCTAGGTTTCGTAAATTTACTTACGGAATTGGTGGCTTACTATACACAGGCATCCTAATCAGCCAGAGCTGAAAACGCTGCCTTTTAACCTTATGAAAACTACTTTCCCTATCAGAGAAATAAACAATCCATTAGTAGCTGCNTCGAGTATCAATGAGCAACTCCGCTCGGCTAACAATCCTATCCTACACACCCTTTTGTCACGTTTGGCCATTTACATGGAAGGGTTGTTTCGTTTTTCACTTCTATGGACCCGTTTGGATGGGGGGAATATTAGATAATTGAGGTAATATTTTTTAAATTGAGCAACTGATGATATGCAGATAATCCAATTTTGTGTCCCATGTTGCCCTTAAACAGTTGAGTATTTGGTCCAAATTACCTTTATATTTTTTAAGATTTACAAAACACCCAATCAACTCATGCAAACCCTTTTGTCCTAACCTTTTAAATTTTTTGGACAACATTGCCCTTATTTTTGTCATTATTTACAAAAATATCATTGTACCCAAAACTGGCCACCATTGCTAGTTGTCGTTGACCATCGCCAGAGGCTGCCAAAAGTCGTCATAATAGACTAAGATCGGTCGTATATGGCTGGCTTTTCCCCGATGAGACCTTTTCCGGTCATGGATCATAGATCCATGGTTGGAAACGGTGAGATTTGGCCGTGAACCTAGCCATTTCACGGCCATATCTGTGGCATTGCTGACATCACGACCAGATTTGTGGCACTGTCAGCTTCACGGCCGGCGGCCATCGATGGTGATGGCAGGCTACTGACAGTGGCTTGGGGTGGATAAGAGTGTTTTTGTTAAGTTTAAAACGTTTTTGATTGTTAGAGTGTTTTTGCTAAATCTGAAAAGTAAGGGGTTAAAAAAATTATTCAAAAAATAATAATAAAAAATATTATTATATTAATATTTAAAAAAGAGGACAATTTAATAATCTATATAACATACCCACCTATTTATCCTCCCAACCAAATATATTATTCATTAATTTATTTGAATTAACTAAATATATTTTTTAAACATTTATAATAATCTTTATATAATATTTTTTATAATAAAACATTATATAATAAAACACCAACATTAACCAATGATAAAAAGTAGACAAAACATTTACCCAAGAAAAAAAGAATCGTTATGTTGATGAAAACATGAATTTGTTTACTTTGTAGTACAAAAAAGCAGATGGATCAGGGGAGAAATCACAAATACTGGACCAGATTACAGAGACAATGAGGACAGGAATCACTTAGACGGGAGCATTGAAATGATTGGAGTGCTTCTATATGGACCAGAAAGTGGGTGGTGAACTTTATTCTGTTAGAGCACCTGGTTTGCCCTTGTTGATGATTGGCAATGCTTGAAATCAATGGTAATATTTATCTTTTCATTGATTGATTCGTTTTATATGTTATGTATATGGAAGAATTGAAGTGATTGTTGTGTGAATTTAAACAGGTTCGTGTATTTGAAACACTGTGGATCAATAACACAATATGGAATGAAACACATGAGGGCATTT